CCTACGATTCTGTGATTCTGTGATTCTGTGGGGCTGTAACAGCCGTTCAGCATAGCCTTCTTCAGTGCAAGAGAGTGATGTGCATGAAGCTTCACTTAATGCTTGTTGCTGAGAGGTGGTACTGTCACGCCTGCTTCTGAAGAATTCCAAGCATAAAAATGAAGTAATTCTAGGCTGAGTTGCTGAGACTTGAAGTCTGGCTTTGAAATGGAGTGAAAGAACATTAGAAGTAGTCTTCTACTTAGCTCTTAGTTTTCAGAAGTGTTTAGATTATGGAATCTAAAGCGACCTAGCAGGATACAAAACAATAAGGCCTATGGCCCTTTCTCTTTATAGATAGAGCTAAAGAGAAATATGACAGAAACAGTGAATGTATCAGTGTGCTTACCTTGTGGGCTTCTGTGAAGTTGGTATTGCTCCTTTAAAAGTTGTTTGTGTAATAGAAGCAGACGGAGAAATCACTTGAAGAGTGTTACATCTGCTTTTCAAAAGGCTTAGTTCCAGCTTGTTAGACAAAGGCAAACAGGTGGGAAGAGGTTGCTAGGAAGTTCCTAGGATGGGAGAAATCTTCAGAGCTCCTTACTTCTCTTGGAATGAAACCCAGCTTTGATCAGATGCTAGCCTTCCTCAGTAGGACGTAGATACTAACTTGCTACTGCTTTGTTTTTGCACAGGTGCTGTTCGAATGCACAACGGTAGTCTCCAGCACCTTGTGTGGCTTGGTTTGCAGTGGAACTCTGTGTCAGTCTTACCCCCAGTGCGGCAAATGTTAAAACAGCTTTTTCACTTGCCCCAAGAAACATCAAGACTTGAGACAGATGCTCCTGAATCCATTTGCCTGTTGGACCTTGAAGTCAGTACACTTTCCAAGATCTGAAATGCATTTAAATGCTATTTTCTCTTTTCTTATTTCTTTTCTTCTCCTTTCTTTTCTTTTCCTTTCTTTTCTTTCTTTCGGTACCTAATATTTTCTTTGGTTTATTTATTTAACAGGTGTTTCTATTTGGGATGGTATTCACTAGCAACTTAGAATTGCAGGAGAAGTTTAATACTCGTAATGAAAAGCATCGGCCACCTTTCTTACCGTTGCTGCTGAGCAAAGAGTACTATACTGAGAAGCAAAGATCCTGGTGGGATGCTGTTCGTGCCTTTATGCAGAAAAAAACAACGTAAGAATTCTTCAGTTTGGAAACATTTGAAACAAGCTTTAGACAGCTTCTGAATTGATTCCCATAGATTGAGTAAATCTAGTTTGCTTGGTTGGACTGTTTCAGATGTGAATGTTTTGTTGCAAGAGGGGTTTGAGACACTTAAGAGCTTTCTAAAAATGGGCTTTATGTTTCTCGCATAGCATTTCCAAACAAGAGCTAGGTTAGAACCGAAGCTGCTTGTTATTTTCATCAAACAAGTGACATGTGAATAGAAGAAAAAGAGAAAACACTAACTGAGTATGTTAGTAATAATTAGTAACTGTTTCTTCTGATCCTCAGGCCAGAATCAGTGACAAAACTGAAGATTCTTGTACAGCATGGATTAAGTGCTCTGTGAGCGCTGGAGAAGCATGGCCTTCAGCCTGCCTTAGTTATACACTGGGCAAGAAGCCTGCAAAATACAGTGAGCTAAGATTATTTTTAAATATGTACAATCTGTTTTTTCACTCCTTGTGTAAACTGAACACACAAAGTAAACAAAATCAGATGAGAAGGTACTATTGAGAACTGCCATTAACTTTGTTGGGTAAATTAGTTTCTCTAGTCAACCTATCAGGTACGCTCTCCCTCACTACCTCTTAACATTGCACTGACCTGTAGTGCTGTATTCTCCCTGTATGTCATTTTTGATAACTCTAAGCAGAGACCTCCTGAAATTTACCACAAGTGTCAGAGAACAATTCTTGAATTTTTTCAAGAAAACAACTACTCCAGGGCAAATAAGTGTTAGTAACACTTGCTTTGAATTTGTTGAGATAGCTTCTATTTCTTTTCTTCACAGGGTGCTAGCCTGAAATTTTTCCGTGACCAGAAGGAATACATTGGATGAAGTGTCTACTACTGGAAGAAAATTCTGATTAGTTTAGAAACCATCAAGAAGAACAAAAATATTCCTGAACCAGCTGATCCTCTCTTCAAACATTTCCATAATGTGGATATTCAGGTGCAGATTGATTGATCTAAGACTAGAGTAAGGGGGGGTTATATGTTGATATACAAGCTTATGGTTGTGGTTTAACCTGGAAGA